CGTTGCCGGTCCTGGTCCGGTACGGGCGCGACACTGAGGGTTGCGATCCGTTGCCGGGCACAAAAAAAAAAGACAAAAAGGAAAAAAAAAATTTATAATAACTGTATAATAACTGTACCTACCTCACATGGGTACACTAAATGAATAAATATAAGTAACACACAGCAGTTCTTAGAACAACAGACTTAACACTCTGCAACTGTTGCTATTACTATTATTGTTTTTATTATCATTATTATTACTTAGATCAGTTACTTAGCAGTGGACTAAATGGAAGCCACTGAGCTGGAAATGGAAGCAGATGAAGAGAGAAAGGCAGTTTTGACTAGAGGACATTTGCATATAGGGGAAATATATTGAGAGGGCAAAAGGAATTTCGCCATTGGACGTCTGCTTCTTTTGACATTGGAGACATATGTCTGTCTCCATAAAGGGAGCCCAGCACTGTGGGCCTTCTTGACTCCTAAAAAGTAATAGCTGCCCATGAAAATNCAAAAGGAATTTCGCCATTGGACGTCTGCTTCTTTTGACATTGGAGACATATGTCTGTCTCCATAAAGGGAGCCCAGCACTGTGGGCCTTCTTGACTCCTAAAAAGTAATAGCTGCCCATGAAAATCACTGAGTGATGAGTATCAGCCTTAAAGAGAACAGAGTCGGATAAGCATGAAACCGTCAGTTTGGAAGGCTGGTTAGAACATATGGGAACAGAATGAATGTTCCAGAAGTGATTAAAGCAGAGACTGTTTAAAACATGTAGTAGATACTGATAAAATTCAAAGAATGAGATTTTCTGTGTAAGAAATTAATTTAAATTTTGTATTGCTTATGATTTTGTGCACTAATGGGCTGGCTAAAAAGAGTAAAAAAATTTAATAACTTATGTTTAATATGTGGAAATATATTAGTGAAAATGTATAGTCAAAACAAATTTTACTGCTGTGATTATAGTCTCTAACACATAGAATGGCTTTGCTTTTCTCTTCTATTTTGCACGCTTTCAAATACATTAAACATTTTGTATTGTGTATTTCATATTAAATGTGTTAAGTGTATGCATTAAATTTGTGCTTTAAAATACTTAAAATACATTGAAATACATTAATGAACCATTAGTGTAGTGCCTTTATTTTAAAAATGTCATTTTAACTTACTTTAATGTTCTAATCCCTCACTTTCAACATAGATGCCCACCTGCTTTGATAAGATTTGAGCCATTTAAAATGAACTCCTACATATTTATTTTTTTAATGTAAAAATACTTTGTACCTGTCTTCTTTTTTACCTTCCATTCAGGAGCAAAAGAAGATTTCCCTTCCCTCTCTCACAAGGCCACTCAATAGCAAACATAGGGACTCACATATGGTAGGTCTAAACATGCCAGTTAGTTATTGTGTATATTTTTAAGTTTAGGTTCAAATATTCCTAACCAAGATCAATAATAACTTTTTATGCATATGAACATCTTTTTCTTCCATGATTTCAGATGCCCTTAAAATGTAAAGTTTATTTCAGAGAATCAGAAAAACCAACTCTTTAGGATGTGTAAAGAAATATCTCATGTACGTCTATCATGTCCTAGAAGAATTTTCCAGAATAGAGTTATAGTTTCTCAAAGTAGAGAGAAACCTTATGTCCCACGTATTCCAAACCCAGGAACCTGAGACACAGTAAGTTCAGGGACTTGATCATAGTTGCACAACTAGCTATATGACACGGCTGGGACAGAGAGGTGCAGTGTCCCCTCTCTTTATTGCCTGTTGGAAAGTGAGACAGGAGGTAAGTATTTTGGAGGCTGCAGGCACTCTTGTGGGGAAACAGCTTACACTGAGAGGGCCTGCGGCAGGTCCTGCAGAAAGGAAGCAGGCAGCTTGGGACTGGCTCAGAGGAGGAGAGAGGAAGAGGGATCTTCCAGATTCCTTCTAAGCCATTAGGCTCAGGGTGCAGGGAAAAATAAGCACGTTGGTTCTGTGCAGGATGGAAGCGTGTGCTTGACTGCAGCACGCCTACTCTGCAGCTGCCAAAATACAGGGAGTTAGAACCCCCCAAATGTCCTGGCAGCTCGGCCTGGGTTGATGCTGACTGGCTGGCCACTTGGGCTCGCCAGGACTCTCAGCAAGGT